CTCTTCTCATCCTAAACTTTATTTGCTAATAAGATAAAAAGTGGATTAAAAGAATACCTTTTTCTATTGAATACATCCAACTTATACAAAACTTCAAGATTGAGTGCAAATGTGCGGAAGCCCGTCCTTTATGTCCAGTGAACAAACAAAAAGGAGCAAGAGCTCATATACAACTTCACTATGGAAACAAAAGGCTATAACAGCTTAATATCAAAAGGAACACGATCAAATACAAGTGCTATCATGCAGTGACTTTGGCCAAGTATTCAAGAACGGCTTTTTTAGTGGGTAGAGCAGGAATGGCACCTCTCTCTGTTACTGTCAGAGCACCACAGGCGTTTGCAAAGAGAAGAGCTTCTCTTAACCGCTTCTCATTCTGTTAAAGCGATAAAGGAAACTAGGAAGTCAAGGTTTCGAATGTATAACCCTAAAGTTGACTCATAACCAATTGCCATCTGACTCTGCTTTACTTCCTCTTTCTTTTTCCTTTCCTACTAGTTTAATTTCCTTGCCTTGTTTACATTGACCCGACCATATATAAAAGGGATTTTAAAATCAAACAGCAAAACAAGGTTGCAGATGAAGTAGAAGCTTAACAGCAACTAATTCAAGGCTGCAGTTCACTACTAGATTCAGCTGAACTCTACTGAGACATTAAGATATGAACCACTAATCCTCAATCATCCCCATCCCTTGTTTTTAAGATCACTATAATTGCCTTATACTGTTTACAGTAGCAAGCATGTTAAATATAAGTTCCTGATATGATTCAAATAGAACTCTTATGTGCAGGATTTATAATGAATCAATAAGGAAAAAGATAGTAGTAAATATCAGTCTTAATGAGAATACTAGAGGTACCTCAAATATCTTTGAGTCAGATGCTATGCTGCTTAGCATCCCACCATCAAATGCATCACCAGCACCTGTTGTGTCCACTGGTTTAACTTTAACACCTGGAACCCTACCTTTGAATGCCTGCAATAAGATTTTGGTTGACAAAAAATTATGTTATGCAAATAAATCACATTTAGTACTAGAGTTAGTGACCATCATGCTTCATCATCATTGTCCATCAGAACAATCCAATCTCATAGAATTTAGACAGTATTACATTCAAATCAGGCCATTCACTCTGACTCTGTAATGGCTTTTCTTATGAAATCAATTTTACTAATGAAGATCCATAAAAAAAATTTACTAAGAGAACCAGTCAAATTTTCATTTTATCATACAGTTCAACTTTTATTTTATAATGATATTAGATATTTTATTTTTGAGAGGCTAGTAAATTAGAGTACATGAAATTCTGTTGCTGTATCTGAAGAAAGGCTTAAAATCATATAGATTATTAAATGAAACAGAGAAGAAATAGTCTCACCGTTGTGTAATATCTACAGCCATCAGAACCTTCAGTTACAACCAAAAGCTTAAGGGTAGGATGAAAAAGCTTCTGCAGCACCACATTATCATCATAAGGATCATCACCTCCAGTTAAGAATGAAATTTCATCCTCACTTATCTGCCATTCAACAAGATAGCTGCAAGTAAGCTCCATGTAAAATATAATTGCATTTCTTTTTATAGTTGTTAAAATATGGAGCTATAATATTTGCACTTTGATAGGCAGCACGTCATCTCAGATATCACATGTGACTCAGCGTACCTTAATAATATCTGCCTGACCCCATACGCTCATTATGCCTTTCCGAGCAGCCTCTGCTGATGGCCATAGTGGCAACTTAAATTTGGATCATAGGAGAGGATGCTACCTGACATTTTTGCAATGTTCATTGCAGCAAGTTGAGCTGACCTGCATGGTTCCTCAATCAAACTAATAGAACCATAATGAAAGATCCTGGCCTGCAACCAAATATTTTGGAAATCAAAGGATATCAAACATACAAGACATTGCCAAATAATCTTTTACTGCATTTCCTAACTAAACAGAAGAAAAAAGCTACCTTCTTAACAAGGTCTATATCAAGCTCTGATTCATGAAGACACATGTCTGCACTAGGATGGTGGAAAAACAAGAATTCACGTTCACCATCAGCTCTGAGTGTAACGAATGCCAGTGCAGTTCTTGCATCATGGTCAAATCGCACACCAGAATTGTCAACATTATTTTGTTTCAAAATGTCAGCTAACATATAGCCAAATTCATCGTCACCTACCTGTTAAAAAACCAGAAAGCATTTGGGAAAGGCATGTCTAAGTAAAAGAAGAATCATCAACACTAACATTGTCCCTGACACAAAGAAGCAGACAAGGAGTAGGAATTACTGGAGCAAAAAAATACCATTTTGATAAACCATTTTTTGAATCACATTTCAACCTATTATCTATGGTATTGGATGGCAGCATTGCTTCAAAATCATGGCTTAGTTAGAAAAAAATGGGTTAAGATGTTGCAGTCCTTGTGAAAAAACTAGAAATTGATATTACTATAAGACAACTTCAAAATGAAATCAAGTTAAATGACAACCATTGGAATCTTTAACTTCCACTAATATAAAAAATAATATTAGCTGCTCTTAATTTTGGGAGCTTGGAAGGAGATAAATTTTAAGAGCAATGGATGTGGGATTCTGATTATGTAAAATTAACAGTTATGAAAAGGTAAAAAATTCAAAGCAAGTAACTTCATACTGTGTAGACTGGAAGCAGAAAGAAATGAAGATATCATGGATTCAAGGGGTTGGCTAGTACAGAAACAATGTTTCACCTTGCCAATAAAAGCTGATGAACCTCCTAACCTTGATATGCCAACAGCTACATGAGCTGGGGCACCACCAGGAGCCTTCTTGAAAGCAGGTGCTTCAGCCAATGAAACCCCTCCAATGGTCGGAACAAAGTCAATTAACATTTCACCAAAGCAGACCACTAATGAATTCTTAATTGGACATTCTCCATTTGCACTTGAAGAAAAATATTTATTACCACCTATAAAGACTCAATTCCTCAATATCACAAATAAATTTCAGCAAAGCCAATTACATTAAAAACCATAAGAGAACCCAGCCAACTATCATGCTACTCCTACACCAATCTGTTTGCTTTAAAGCATCAGAAAAGCCTATCCACTTTGAAGAGGAATCACAGATCTGCTGATGTATTTTATATTAAAAATAAAAAATCAGTTCCTAATTAGCATGAATTCCACAGCTTCACAAAACGGATTAAGCCCCACACTTATTAGTCTTTGAAAGTGAGATCTTAAGATCATTTTCTGGGACTGTCACTTTACTCCTTTAGATCAAGCATTTTAACATTCATTTTTCGTGTAGATTGAGTTTTACTAAACCACTAAACCAGCATGTAGCAAGAAACAGAACTTGCAACATAATTGATTCAAGTTATTGAAAGATAAATCCAGAAAATCGTTCGAAGATCAACAACTGTACAAATAACTAAATTATTTTGTTAAACCATGTCCTATCATTATATACATCATAGAAAAAGATGGCTGCCCCACATAGAACTTAGCGACAAAGAAAGAAACATGCACACAGAAACATAAAACAAAAGATCTCTCTTCTCAAATTCGATTTCTCCACCAAAAAATCAAATCCCACGAAAAAGATGCAATAAACAACAAAACCCATGATCAAAAACTAAAACGGAAACAATCTTCTCTTAAACCCAGACGTAGAAAGACTCAAACCCATGATCAAAAACTACCAAAGAAACAATCTTTCAACAGTAAAACCTCAAACCTTGATGCAGAATGACTCAATATATTAAGCAAATCATTAACTCCATAATGTAGATTCAATCAAGAACAGAGCAAGAAACGAAAAGTAACGGAACGAGACGCATATCTGAAGCGTGATTCTCAACCATTTTGAGCTGTAATTGAGAGATTGAATTGAAGAAGAAGCTGGAACTGCTTTCTGTAGAGAGAGATAGGGTGGGGACGGCGGAATTTCGTAGCAGGAAAAGCGTTTTTCCGATGCTGGTGTCTCGTAGGAAGTCTACAAGCGTAAACAAATTTGTCCAAGCCGGAAACTCTTAACTTATTTTATATTTTCCTGTCTTTAATTAAGATTTATCGTTATTTTTGTCTCGTTTACATTATTTTTTTCCTTTCTTTTTCTTTATCTGTCTGTATATATGTAAATAGTGTCTCTTTCACCTTTTGGTTAATACATTTCCCTTTTAAGTTAAGTTTTCCTCTATTTTTATCAGAAAAGTAGTAAACTATTAACAGCTTTATCATTGGAGTTGTATTTACCATGCTAAATGTTACTTTATGGGTTAGTATTTGTCTGTTTTACTTTAAAAAAAAAAAAACAATAACACTTTAATTTATGTTTTAAAATTTAAATAATTAATTTTTAATCATCAACTTTAAACTAATTATAAATTTAAAGTCATATAAAAATAGAGAAAAATGAAGTGAAAGTAATAAAAATTAAATAATGTCTATTTCAGTCATTTTAATATTAAAAGATCTTTTATAAAAAAAATTACCAAATAACTTTTCACTCTGCAAGTGTTTTTATAAAAAATTTTATCAAACACTTTTAATTTTTCAAAAACAGCACTTCCACAACAGATTTTCTTTAATAAAACCTTTATTAAAAGCTCCAACCACACTAAACAAGCTATTAATTCCAAAACCCCCCAGAGCTTTTGGTTAAGTGTCTGCCAACCGACAAGATGGATTTCCCTTAGATTAGCATCAATGCCCCAAAAGAAATTTTGGGAACTTTGGTCCAACTCATTGTGAACCGAAGGAGGGGAGATCTATCTATATTTAGATGATTAGGGCCCAATAGCAAATTCTGCTAAAACTCCAAAACTTCAAAACAAACACCATAATAGTTTGGTTGAGAAAATTAAAAAAATATGGCGTAAAACTCAAAACAAAAATGTATTTAGCTAAATAGAAAAGTGAAGTGTAATATATTTTATATAAACTACGCATCACTTAATTTTTGATTGAGAGGTATGTCTAAATATTAAGGGTTCACTTTTTTATCAATGATTAAAAGTAATGTAGTACTACACCATTCTCTTGGTTAAAATTAAGTGTAATTAGTTATATTAAAAAGCTTGTAATTCTCTTGGTTAAAAATGAGAGTAGTTGGTTATAAGAAAAATGAAATTATGCCATTGTGGTAATCAATTACTCTCTCAATCTTTTTTAGTTGTTTTAGTTTTTCAACTTTATATAAATTAATTTAATGATTTTATATAAAAAAAATAAAAAACAATTGAAAATTTTTTTAATCTAAATGAAAATACCTGACAAGAATTATATATTGAAAGAAAATAATTTTTAATCATCATGTATTTATTATATAAAATTACTTAATTAAATTGTATCTAAAAATCAAATTAGAATAATTAAATCTCACCAAAAAAGATTACATTGCAAGTCAAACTTTTATAAATTTGTTTGGATAGTGAATGTCCGGACGGTATAAACAAGTACAATCAGTTACATCGGTGCATTTGGTTTGGATTGTCGAATCCCAACAAGTATGCTCACGTTATGACTCTAGATTCACAAGCATGTTAATAACCTAAATAAATTAGTTATCATAATTTTTTGTTGAAAGTAAAATGTTTTGAATTTAAGTCGTATGATATACAGATAGAATAAGATAAGAGATGAAAGGTGATTGTCTTATATTGTGTAATTAAAATAAGAGAAAAAAAAAAAGCATACTCACATTAGGACCCTAGATTCTTAATTCAGACAAAGGGTAGCAAGTTGGCCAATATCTCGTGCCTTGTGGACCAAAATATCGGATCTAATCCGGTTCAGAACAATGTTTTCAAAATCGGACCGGTCATTGAACCGTTTT